TCCTGTAACGCTGGAATATTTAGTTGAGGAAGTCGAACACCGTTATATTTAGGCAATTTTTTAAAGGAAGTTAACCCACAATAACGGTCCCGCTGGCGATACGATTTGGCAACTCGTCATTCACAGTAGGATGTGCCTGAAGAGCGCGATGTTTCGGTTTCAAGCCGTACCGGCCATGATCGAATCGCTCATTTACGTGGCGCTCTATGGCCCAATTTGAGGCCTACAAAAAAACATATTTTTCATTGCGTTCAGTTAAAAAAATGCTTAGTACTGTGTCCAGCAGTTATACTAAGCCAAAACAATGATGTTCTAGATATATAACAAAAATTTGTCACTTAAAACAAAAAAAAAAACTTCTAATAAAGCTCAAAATAAAAGTTCTTCTGAGAATAAGAAAACTCATACAGAAAAAAACTACTTCGTTCATTAATAATTTCAAAACAACGTCCGATCAGATTTTCTTCAATAAAAATATTTCTATGTACCGGGGATTTTTGCTTTTTTTTCAAGATAAAGTTATAAAAACCCTTTCAATTTTAATGAATTTGAATTATGATTCAGAATATAAAGATCTTCCGGGCAGCCATTGCAGAGAGCTGTTGTTAGTGGTGTTACTGTGGAATGCTCCTGCACAGCTGGGCCCAACTGTGTAGCTTGGCTGTCATGTGTTCAGTACAGTTATTCGTTTCAGAGATTTTGAAGATTTTTTGGAGCTAGCGATGGGGTCAAACTTGCTATTGTTTACTGTACCGAAAAGAACTAAGCAACAAATGCACAATAGAAACTTACAGACCGTGGGAGAATTTTTTGGAATGAATGAATGTATCGATTCAAGAAAACAACGTCTTGCGGTTCACCTTTATACCAAATCCGGTTCATCACCCAGGTGCCGGTACGTGTTGCAACATATACCTAAAATAACCTCACTGTTTGTAAGTCAATAATGATAAGGTAAAATTAGAGCGCTAAAAAGTCAATCTGAATTTTCCTACAGCTCCTTTTCAACTTATAAAATCGGGTGCTTGTGTGAAAATCTATCATACTTCCAGGATACATGGAGCAATTAAGAACACTTAGAGCAAAAGGAAATGTATGGTTCTTCCGCAGTAAAAAATCAGAAAGAAAGTTGA